TAAAAATGGTAAATTGTGGGTGATGCAGAATATGACCAATGTTAACTCTGCATTTTTAACTTGCTGCTGCTGTTTTTGTTGTTCCGCATCGTAAAATTTTTCCAGAGTAAATTGTTTTTTGCGCGCCTCATAACATTTGATATGGCTTGATGTTCTTTGATGGGCCTTTAGGTGGCTGCTATGGTTGATTACCGCTTTTGAACAAGCTACACAAAATGCACAGCCATCTTTTTCATGCAGCCAGTCAAATAAACGCAGCCTTTCTGGACGAAATTTTCTTTTCACTGCTTGCTGCTTCTCTTCATCTCTATCAATTAATATGAAAAAATAGTATTCAGGAACAGGCTTTTAGAAAATATCGGTCAGGAAGCATTTGAAATCAACTATTCGAAGCAACTCGTCTTCCAAACGGTTGATGCACTGAATTGTTTATTACCTGCACGATGGTTCATCTCCTGTTGACTCTGCTTTGCGTTTCTGGTTACAAACCTGAAAATGAAATCGTTAAAACATTAACTAATTGATATTAATTTACTCACTTGTCCATCGTATCGTTTTTTAATAAACCGCAAGCATGTCACTTTTCTAAAGATGTGTGCATGGCACTTTTCGAGAGATGTTCAATGCGCTGTGTTCGAGCGGTTACTTGTTGCGTACGCTAGTGTTGCAACCACTGCTACAGTCATATACACACATCTAATAATAGGGGTATGCGTTTATACATACGAATCAGTTATAATAATGCCTATTACGGTATCCGACGGATGCTATTCGCACGAATCTAATGCTTCGCTCTCGCTTGTTACGACAGTGCGAATCTTACTAGATCCGTGCGGATGGCATCCGTCGTATACCGTAATATTCATGATTTACATTTTTGCGTGCGGCATTATACGAACACACCGTTGAAATATTCTTGTAAGCAAAATTGAAACAATTTTTCGAAATATATTTTCTATTTTTCGGAAATAACCCAAACCTACCAAAATCCAATCTAGCCTACCAACCTACCAAATGGAAAATAACCTACCAGTTTTGGCAGGAAAAGCCCATGTTTGGCAACTCTGGTCCCTAGTTCACTGAGCGCTCTCTGAGAACATGCGTGTTTCACACGTATACGAACAGTGTTGCCGCGCCGTCTCAAGAAAATGTATCCCTGACCAAGCCAAAAATGTATCCAAATGTATCCAATTTTCTTTTTTTACATATACATCTCATAACTTGTAAGAAAACCAAACATTTTCATGAAAAAGACATAATTTAACCCATGCTAAGGACTTGGAATACATGTGCATAAAATCAAACATTTGTAATTTCAACTTATAAAGTACATTTTTTGTGCATAAGTATTTTGCAAAGTAAATATAATAAATAGCAAGTACACTCTAAAAAGAGCATGTAAAACTACTACTGAAAAGTATCTATTTTTATACCCGAGCGCACTTGTGCACAAGGGTATATTAATTTTGTTCACATAACGGTTGTTTGTAACAGCCAAAACGAATCGAGATAGATATAATTTCAACTTATAAAGTACATTTTTTGTGCATAAGTATTTTGCAAAGTAAATATAATAAATAGCAAGTACACTCTAAAAAGAGCATGTAAAACTACTACTGAAAAGTATCTATTTTTATACCCGAGCGCAGTTGTGCACAAGGGTATATTAATTTTGTTCACATAACGGTTGTTTGTAACAGCCAAAACGAATCGAGATAGATATAGACAAATGTATACATAAATGATCAGGATGAAGAAAGAAATTGATTAAGCCATCCCTGCAAAAATCGTTGGACCATGTACTCTATTTGTGGTAAATTGGAGTACTTACAAAAGTGTTCCTCTGTCATGCTGTAGCGGACCAACTCGTGTCTCTGCGCCAGCTTATTGTTTGTTATCCGATCACTGCTCGTGTTTTAACGAAACGTGATTGAAGTTGAGCATTTGAAAGCACATTTGCATGTGTGGCTGTAGCTGAACGTGTAGAGATGCTCGCTGTTAGTTCTTAGCTCCCAGCATGTTCGGGTTCGAATACCGTCAGAGCCAACATGTAATTTTTAATTTTTGTCTTGGTTTTTATTAATTTCGAAAAAGCATTTGAGAAGTGAAGAACAAAAGCGTGTACAAACGAAAAAATATAACAACAATGCCCATTGTTAATATGTTGGAGTAGTTTTGTGCTACTCTGATGTAATGCAGGGATGGAGTATATGGTCCTGCCCTAGGACATCGCAATGTTAATTGGACCATATTTTTTATATGAATTGTGGTTAATTTTGGAGTACTCTTTGGTCCTTAGGGAGTACTCTTTACACGCATGCATGGAGTAGTCGCGATTTTTGCAGGGATGTCTGTCTGTCCGTCCGTCTGTCCGTCTGTCCGTCTGTCCGTCCGTCCGTGTACACGATAACTCGAGCAAAAATTGAGATATCTCAACGAAATTAGGTATATAGGTTTCTGCTAATCCAAGGTAGGTTGGTATTGAAAATGGGCGAAATCGGACTGTACCCACGCCCACTTCCCATATAACGGTAATTTCCAGAAATACGAAAACTGCGATATTTTAGTAACAACTGAAGATAATTCACTCAAAGTTGGTATTTACAATAATTTTCAGACGAAAAATAAGAATATCATAAACTTTTGGAAAATGGGCGTAGCCACGCCCACTTATGGTTATATGTGTATATCTTGGTAACCGCTGCACCAATTTCTTCCAAAATTGGCACAGTTGTTGGCCTTGGTACAGCATACTAAATGGCCGAATATTTAAAAAATCGCACAATAACCACGCCCACATCCCATATAACGGTAGTTTACGGAAATACGAAAACTGCGATATTTTAGTAACTACTGAAGATTATTCACTCAAAATTGATATTTACAACAATTTTTAGACGAAAAATAAGAATATTATAAACTTTTGGAAAATGGGCGTAGCCACGCCCACTTATGGTTATATGTGTATATCTTGGTAACCGCTGCACCAATTTCTTCCAAAATTGGCACAGTTGTTGGCCTTGGTACAGCATAAAAAACCGCCGAAACTTTTTAAAATCGGACAATAACCACGCCCACATCCCATATAACGGTAATTTAGAGAAATACAAAATCTTCGATAAATCATTAAATATTGAAGCTAATTTATTCAAAATTGATGCTTGCAACAATTCTTTACCAAGAAATACGTTTATGGTAAAATTTTGGGAAATGGGCGTGGCACCGCCCACTTATGATCACATATAAGTATATCGGTAACCGTTCTACCAATTTGTACCAAACTCGGTATGGTTATTGTACTTGCCACGTGTAAGCAAATCGTTGAAAATTATTGAAATCGGACTAAAATAACGGCCGATTCTCATATAACGGTAAATTTAAGAAATGCTTGAAACTTCAATATTTCGAAATTGAAGGACGCTAATTTACTCAAAATTGATACACCTCGGCTTACCATCTAGCGGAAGGTTTCGGAAGGCTGAAAAAAACATATATTTAATACTTGCGCCGGGTATTTAATGTTCGGCTCCGCCCGAACTTAGACTTTCTTACTTGTTCAACAAGAATCTGTATAAATATACGTATAGGATGTTCAGTATTTGATTTTGAACTTGAGATCTTTAAAATATAAACATAAATACACATATGTAGAATGTTTAAAATTGCAAAAATTTTCAAACTAGAAATACATTTCCTACTAATAATAAACATTACTTTATTTTAAACATTTTATGTGTAAAAGTAAACAGGCAATGATTAATTTTATTACACGACTTGCAAATTTGCATACATGTTACCTCTCTCAATATGCGCAAATAAACAAAATTTTTAGAGTGTATTTAAAGTCTTTTCAGTAAAATTCATAAAAGTTTCCTTAAATAAATCAAACTTAGTTTTTTAAACTACATTGAAATCTTCTTTCTTTTTAAATTAACAAATGAAAATATGTGATATGAAAGAGATTACTACAGAAAGAGTATAGTTTACTTTACATATATCGTCGTTTAAAGTACAAAACCGCGTATCGTCTTCTACAAAACCGCGTAACTGACATTTTCTGCCAAAAATTGGATTTGTTCACACAAGCTCTTGGCTTCGTCCTGAAATATACTAGCCAGAAATGCGATTGCTTTATAAAAAAGAGAACAATTTTGAAATATAAGTGTTTTTACTCTCTAGAAAATTATTTATGCAACGTCACATACGCGGATTTGCATTTTGTTGATACGCGGTTTTGTAGTTTAAACGACGATATGTATGTATATTAAGATCTTGCTTAAAGCATCCTTTTAAGCTAATTAAAGCAATTGCGCTTATACCTATTTTTGTGAGATCTCTTCATATGTTCATTGCTTCGTTCACAAAAAATAAAATGCTTTAATTTCACGCTTAAGTAGCGATTCTTTATACGTTTAGAAAACGTAATGCTTTCTACCATCTTTAATGAAAATGGATTTTTGAACGAAAAAAATTTTATAGGAAATAT